AAAAAAAAAAAAAAAAAGAAATGGTTTCAGTAGTAAGTGTCAAGTGGGGATTTAAGCTCATCTCTGATTTCTAATTTTATGCATTCAATTAATATATAAAATGAATATAACTTTTGGGAATTTTGCCTTTTCCATATGTTTATTTTCCTATTTAGTTCAATAGACTGAATTTTAACTTTTCATTTAATGCTATACTAAGAACTGTTTTAAGGCTTTTTTCCCCTCGAGTTTTTCAAAGCAGTTTTTTAAGGTAGTTGAAGTGCCAAGTAACTTAGTTTTAAGTACTCTTTATTTTTCATTTGTGTTACTTGTCTTTTTTGGCAGCTTCCTCAGCTCTCTTTCTGTGTCTTACCATTAATTTTAGAAGACTTTAGTGTGAAATATACAGGTCTGTTTAAAATTGAATGTGAACTGTGCTGTCACCCTGTAAAGAATATAGTCTCTTTAGTAAACTGTCCATTTAAAAAGTGGAAGAAAGAACTTCAGGAGTAGGCATTGTGGCAGTTCTCTTTGGGAAATGAGAGAGAATAGTAGTCTTTTTACTTAGGTAAGAGAGGATTAAGGAAAATGAGAAAACTAGTGATATGGGTTGGCAGTGCAGGTATCTTGCCTGAATTTATAATGCTTTAGACAGACTAAGACTGTTCCATGGGCAATCACAGATGCTAATTCTGCTTGCACATAAAAATGGTCTTAATTGCTTTTGATTTAATATACTGGTAGTCTGTTAGATAATAGAAATCATCAGTTAACCTTAAGGACCTGAAAATTGAATCATCTTCCTTAAGACATATAGTACTTTTAATTTCTCTTCAGTAGCTTATGTTTTCCTTTCCCCTTTCCCTTCATTTTTCTTTCCCTTCCTCCTCCTCTGCCCATCTCTGCCTCCTGGGTGCGCTATTGGAAAACTTGGATTTATGAAAAGATCAAAGCATATATTTTCTTGAATATTAAATTTGACTCACATCATGATTTGTTCATTATTCCAGAGCATTTGCTTATTCCATAATTCTCTCTGATACTCTACAAAGTTCTGTGCCTTAAGTACTAACCAGACTGTCTACTTTTGCTTTTAAACAGTATGTATTGCTTGTGAAAATGTTGGTTCTGCTTTATCTCCTGAACATATTCTGCCAGTGGCAGGACTTCTTTTTGGCTGCCTGAATATAGTGAAAAGCCAGCTAAGATGATTATTTACTGGAGCTAGACGGGTTTGCAGGGAGAGTGCTACCTGCGTGCCATTTTGGCCTCATGTTTATGTTTCATTCTCAGTTATCAAAACCATAAGAAGTGATGGACAAAATGGGCTCAGATTCTTTGTTCTTCCATATCAAGAAGGAAAACAACCTGTTGCTGATATAAATCTACTTCAGTGCCAGCTGTAACCCCTGTGGTTTTTCTCATTACTTACCCTTCTCAGTCTGATGACATGAATTAAGTGAAAGGATGGAAGCTTTGAGTCCAGAGATGGTAGTTGAACCGTGGGATTTGACAGCAGTGCAGACAATGAAAAAGCAGTGCTGTCTCTCTGCTGGGTATCTCGTACTGAACTTGAGCCTGCTGCCAAGTTAGGGGCCATTTCGAAGTACTTGTTTGGAGTTTTTGGACACCTTAAAAAACATATATGAATTCATCATGTGAATTATTTTTTATAGATATATTTGACCTAAAGGTATGTTTTACTCATGATTTGTATGTGTTAATGTGGACTAAGATCATTTTAATGAGAGGTGACGTTATGATAGAAGAAGAAAATTTAGAAATAAGTTTGAATTTTTCTTTGTGTTAATAGGCAGGCAGTGGTTAAAGGTTCCCTTCCACATCCTTTTGCCTTGACGTTATTTGAGGACACATTGTACTGGACTGACTGGAACACACACTCCATTTTGGCTTGCAACAAGTACACTGGTGAGGGTCTGCATGAAATCCATTCTAACATCTTCTCTCCCATGGATATACATGTCTTCAGCCAACAGAGGCAGCCAAATGGTAAGTGATCCTTGATTTTTAAATTGCAATTTGGAACAGCTTTGTAGCACTCTAATGTCTGACTTGAGTGAGGATCGGGAGGAGGGAGGGCATATCCAAAGGTAGTTGGTGGGAACAAAAAAGAGTTAAAATCCCAGCACTTTGGGAGGCCAAAGCAGGCAGATCACATGAGGTCAGGAGTTTGAGGCAAGCCTGGCCAACATGGTGAAACCCTGACTCTACTAAAAAAAATTAGCAGGGTGTGGTGGTGTGTACCTGTAGTCCCAGCTACTTGGGCGGCTAAGGCAGGAGAATCACTTGAACCCAGGAAGTGGATATTGCAGTGACTCGAGATTGTGCCACTGTACTCCAACCTTGGCAATGGAGTGAGTCTCTGTCACAATAATAAAAGGAAAAATGTAAAAATATAATTCAGGTTAGACAATAGCCTAGGCCATTTGTAGCCTGTCACTGCAGACCCCCTCAGCACTTTTTTTGGGTCAGCAGTTATAGAGGTGGAGAAGGGAGAGATAATTTAAAAATTGAGATAACTTATATGCTAGGCTTATACACAAATGAATTTCTTATTCCTATTATTTCTTTCAATATGTGGTTGAGTGTGCTCATGTGACTGTGTTTAAAAACAAACTCTTGGGCCAGGCACAGTGGCTCACACCTGTAATCTCAGCACTTTGGGAGGCTGAGGCTGGTGGATCACTTGAGGTCAGGAGTTTGAGACCAGACTGCCCAACATGGTGTAACTTCGTCTCTACTAAAATATCAAAAATATTAGCTGGGCATGGTGGCACATGCTTGTAATCCCAGCTACTTGGGAGGCTGAGGCTGGAGAATTGTTTGAACCCAGGAGGCAGAGGTTGCAGTGAGCCAAGATGGTGCCATTGCACTTGAGCCTGGGCAACAAGAACGAAATTCTGTCTGAGGGAAAAGAAAACTCTCTTCTTTTTAAATGAAAACTCTCTTAATCTAGAATTTATTTGAATATAAGTACCTCAGGTTGCTAAATAAAACACCTACTTAAACTTTTCTGTGTAGCCCTCCCACCTTGTTTTCCTTAGTTTTGGTTCTATTTTTGGTCAGCCTTTACAATGACTTGGACTGTGACTGCTGACAACTTGTAAGAGGGGACAGGAATTAGGTTTAAAAGGAATATGAGAATGTTAAGGGTTTGGCACTTTTGTGTAAATAAATGTCTGGCATGTGTCTGAGTGTATTTCAGATTTTATTCCATAGCCAAAAATGAAGAGTGTTTGTACCATGTGTTGCTTTATATTAGCTCTTTTCATTTAGGTGGAGATAATCAAATATTGAAAGTGTTATGTTGGAATCTGATGATCATGAGCCCATAAAAATGTGTTTAAATGTGTGTGTTACTGTTCTGTACAAAAGAAAACGTTCAATCACTCGTGTGAATATTTTTATTCTTCATAGCCCTCAAAAGAGAATTTTCCCTGTTTTTTGTTTGTTTTTTTGAGATGGAGTCTTGCTCTGTTGTGTGTTGATGTGATCACAGCTAACTGCAGCCTCAAACTTCCAGGCTCAAACGATCTTCCCACCTCAGCCTCCCAAGTATCTGGGACTTATAGGCATGTGCTGCCACCACCATACCTGGCTAATTTTAGTTTGGTTTTTTTTTTTTTTTTTTTTTTTTTTAAGACGGATTTCCATTCTTGTTGCCCAGGCTGGCAATTCTCCTACCTCAGCTTCCTGAGTAGCTGGGATTACAGGCATGTGCCACCACGCCTGTCTAATTTTTTGTATTTTTAGTAGAGACGAGGTTTCTCCATGTTGGTCAGGCTGGTGTCGATATCCTGACCTGAGATGATCTGCCTGCCTTGGCTTCCCAAAGTGCTGGGATTACAGGCATGAGCCATTGCACCTGGCCTAATTTTAGTACTTTTTATAGAAGCAGGATCTCACCATGTTGCTCAGGCTGGTCTCAAGCTCCTGGACTCAAGTTATCCATCCACCTCACCCTCCCAAAGTGCTGGGATTATAGTCACAAGCCACCATGCCTGGCCTCCTGTTTTTCTTTTTAAATGACACTGTTGGTCCTTTATGTTTTAGTAATTTGAGAATTTACAGTTATCTTTCATATTGATTACTTTTACCTTTCATGTTCCATTGGTCTCCATCTTATGTTGATTTTTTTTCTATGAGTATTGTTTGGACATGTCCCCTTTCATAATTTCTAAAGTTTGCTAATTAGTTTTCTCTGCTTTTCATTTCCCCACTTTTCTGCTTATCCCTTCTATGTTAATCTTCCCAAACCATGACTTGTTAACATAATTACTTTTCTTGGCTTTCAGTGTCCTTCACCTCAGTCTGTTCCCATTCTTTGTACTCATTTAGCTTTAGTTTCTATTAGTCAATAGAAACCTTAACCTCCAGTTATACTGTTGATCTTATTATCTTAACTCGTTTATAGCCCCCAAGGTTTTATTCAGATAGCTTTACCACACTTGAAATGTCCTCTTACCTATCCTTCCTATCCTTAAAGGCTCCTGTGCTATATCCTCCACAAAGTTCTTCTTCAGTTCTTTAAACCTCAGGGTTTTTTTTCCCATTTGACTCTATACTTGTTGTCTATAGTGTGTAAAATAGCACTTAGTTTTTTTGATTTGTATTTGTTTTAGTTTTTCTTTTTTTTTGTTGTTAATTTTGTTTAACGGACTAAATTATAACCTCTTTTAGGGCAGGGATCTCCTGCTTTACTTCTTTTATATTCTTCTTTGGATACAAAATACCTAGTACATTTATACTGATTATTTCCTTTCCTTGCAGATCGTTTGGTAGTTAAGCACCTGCATGACATTTGGTAATAATTTTGGCTTATCACAGTTGTTCATGTTATGGTTGTTAACCTTTGCATACTTAGTAATCATTGGTATTAATCAATGTGATTTATATTTGACAGCTACAAATCCATGTGCAATTGACAATGGTGGTTGTTCCCATTTGTGTTTGATGTCACCAGTCAAGCCTTTTTATCAGTGTGCCTGCCCCACTGGGGTCAAACTCCTGGAGAATGGAAAAACTTGCAAAGATGGTAAGAAGATATTATCTAAAATGAAAAGTTTATAACTATTGGAATTCCTCATGATTTGTTTTTTCTATAATTGGCTCTCTAGGTTATAGTGCCTTGGGAGACCAGTGACTTAATCTCACAATATTCACACATGGTTATAGGAGTGTTTTTGTTCTATGACATCATTTGAATGCTATTTTATGCATTATTTTAGCATTGTAAGTAACATTTTTGAAAAAAATTACGTGCTCTATCTTTTCTATCAAATCTCAGTCATCGATATCACAGTTGATGACTATGGAAATGAGTATTACTTCTCATAAAGAATATATTTTTAACAGGTAGCGTTTGTAAACAAATCTGTGAAAGGAAATATGTTTATTAAACTTTTAGCTACAAAGAATATGAGATACATTTTATAACAGATGATTTAATGATATTTTAAATTGCTTTTTAACAACAGAGATGCTTTCAGAAGAAGGAAAAAAATACATATTGTACTGTTTTAAACAACATCTTTTTATACTTAAGAAACACATTTTGCCTCTTCTCCTTACTCTTAATTCGCTATAGAGAGAGGGCATGTTGGAGAAAGTATACTGATTTAGGACATTTCAAGGGACTTCTGGTTTGGAAGGACACCAGTTCTTCTGTTTTTCTTCTTAATGAGAATGTTATTCATTCTCACCCCTATGGATCACCATCTAGTTCTCTAGCAACCAGCAGACCTGGTAAGAAAATTGTTGTATTTAGCCATGGCTTCTTTATCTAACCTGAAAAGCAGAAACCTGTACTTTGGAGTGTGTTAGAGTCCCTGGCGAGGGGGCCAGAGTGTCAGAGAGATGGAATTGTGTCTGCGTACAGTATATTTGTTATGACTTGGCATTGATAAATTATCCTCATAGTAAAAGGTGAAGCTGGCTGACTCCTGTCAAATGGTTTCCATGGCAAACAACAATTTGGTTTCAATTTAAAACAAAAGGTTTTTGTAATGTTGCTTTTTTCTTTAAAAATGTAGCCTGACTTTAAAACAGAGGATTTATTTTAGCAATAATGGTCTTTCTACTCCCTCACAGCAGTGCAAGTGTACATGTTTAACCAGTTTTGAATTTCATATGTGCGTTTGGCATGTAATAGCCTTAAGTTTAACTGTTCTGTTTTGATCACCTTGCTCAAATTAACAGCTCTATGACTTCTTTGTGAAGTTCTGAGCTGGTGCCTTTTGGTTGTTAGCTAGGGCAGTGAATTGTGCAAAGTTATTCCTGCTTGGTTCCTGCTATCACATTTGGGCTGTATTTCCTCCAAGTTGGAATTCATTTATAATTAGCTCTAGAGTGAAAAAGCCGATATTGAGAGGCTTCACTCCTTTTCCCAGTTTTTTAACTTGTAATTCTAGATTGACGCTTGAAGCTTATATGCCAGTATTTTGTTTTGGACTCATTAGTTTAGCTGGGAATCTTTTCTTGCTCTTTCAGCTGTCAATTTGCTTACTGTCTTTTATTAGCTTCTTATAGTTAGATAATTTTTTGCTGGTGATTTACTTGAACATTTAAAATGAAAAAATGATTGAGCTCAATACCCTCTTTTTCAGTTATGTGGTTTAATATTTGGGGCTTGGGCTTAAAACATTTCATAAATAAACCTAATTTAAAATTCAGTGCTTTATTTTTTTAACACTAATATTAAGTATTGTTAATGTTTCTTGAGTACTTACATGTTCAGTACCTTCCTGAGTTATGTATTTATCTCCTTTGATCCCTACAGCAACCTTATGAGGTATAGATGAGAAAACTAAGCCTAGAGAGATTAGATATTTTCCCAAAGTTTGTGTAGCTACTTGAATCAGATTATATTGGATCTACAACTCTTGCTGTTAACTACTGTGTTACGTTTATCTGGTTTCTTCCCTCCATTGCTGCTGTTTACTTCTCTATAGCTTGCTTTGTCCTCAATTCTGTGATGTATTGCCTTGTATTTCTCTTGGTTAAAACAGCTTTATTGAGATGTAACTTACATACCATATAAAAATCCATCCATTTTTTAAGTGTAAAATTCAGTGACTTTTTTTAAAGTAAATTTACAGACTTACGCAGTTATCACCACAATCCAATTTTAGAACATTCCTATCAACCACAAAGATTCTTGTCCTAGATTTCTTTATCTTTTTTTAAAAAATGCTTCTTGAACAAAGACTCTGTATCCTATATCTCTTTCTCCTTTAATACTCAGCTACTTAGTCATTACATAGTCATTATTCATTGTACTTTTAAATAGCTGGATTAATTCCAGAAGCGGTAGAATCAATGAAACCATAGAGTATGACACAACTTGATTTGAAGACTTAGTTGTTAAACAGCTTGCCCTCAGAGTAGACTCTCCCTATTTCACTGTATTACCTTCTATTTCCACTCTAAAGAGAGCTCATATCCTTTTATGTTAATTTATATAATTAATATATATTTTATATTTATTTTTCAGTTGATTCTTTAGAGTGGATGAATTTTACCTCTGGGTTTCAAACTGTTTTTCATTTCGCTTTGTTGTTCTAGGTGCCACTGAATTACTACTTTTAGCTCGAAGGACAGACTTGAGACGCATTTCTTTGGATACACCAGATTTTACAGACATTGTTCTGCAGTTAGAAGACATCCGTCATGCCATTGCCATAGATTACGATCCTGTGGAAGGCTACATCTACTGGACTGATGATGAAGTGAGGGCCATACGCCGTTCATTCTTAGATGGATCTGGCAGTCAGTTTGTGGTCACTGCTCAAATTGCCCATCCTGATGGTGTTGCTGTGGACTGGATTGCACGAAATCTTTATTGGACAGACACTGGCACTGATCGAATAGAAGTGACAAGGCTCAATGGGACCATGAGGAAGATCTTGATTTCAGAGGACTTAGAAGAACCCCGGGCTATTGTGTTAGATCCCATGGTTGGGTAAGAAGCTCTACTGTTAGTAAATTCTGTGTGATATTTCAGTTTTTCACAGGTTCCTAAAAACATTGACTAAAATAACATGACATATATTGGTTTCTAATAAACAGGTGATTGGAATACAATCTCAAGTTAAAAAAAATTGCTAGTTTTTTGCCTTGGATGTTTTAGGTATCTTTTCTTTCTAAATTAAGTCCATGTTTGCTGACTTTGGGTGTTGTCTGCAGATTTTGCTCAGATTGCATCATTACCATGAAAAATGTGGAAAGAAATTGTTTTCAGAACTCTTTCCCTTCCCCTGGAAGTTTCAATTCCATTTTAAGTATTTTATAGTAAGAATATAGCTTACTTTATGTTTCCCTAAACACGTGAATGACTTGAATTCCAAAACTTTGTCAGGCCATGCAGCTTTACTCCTAGTTTGTTGTTGTTGTTTGTTTGTTTGTTTCGTTTTGCCATGCCACCCTGACTATATAGTCTAGGGAGATACAGCTTCTTACATACTCAACAATTTTATTGTTACTGCGATATTCTGAGGACGAGCATAGTGACAAATTACACTTCAGTGTATATCAGTGTCTTAGATCCACTTAAACATCCAGGAACCATAAGAATCACTTAGCGCTACAGGAAGAAATGGTTTTTTTTATAATTCAGTTTGCCATCTGACCCATATTGCTGGGATAAGCCTTTGTGCCAGAGGTGACAAGCCATGAAGGAAGAGAGAAAGTTCATGGAAAAGGGCACAAAATGTTTAACAACAACAACAACAAAAAAGTAAAACTGGAATCTCATTATTGGGAGGCATTTTGAGGATTGGCTCTAGAACATGCTGTTTGATTTGAAAATTTCCTACAATCTTATATACTGCTATGGTAAATGTCTTAAACACACTCTTCATATTTTTTTTTTTCCTTTCTATGGCATTAACTGATGATACCAGTGTAATAGGAGGAGTAGATCTCACCTTTAGAATATCTGAAAGTTATATTTTATTATCTATTTTTAGCTCATTTTTTTTTGTATACTTCTATAGGTACATGTATTGGACTGACTGGGGAGAAATTCCAAAAATTGAACGAGCAGCTCTGGATGGTTCTGACCGTGTAGTACTGGTTAACACATCTCTTGGTTGGCCAAATGGTTTAGCCTTGGATTATGATGAAGGCAAAATATACTGGGGAGACGCCAAAACAGACAAAATTGAGGTTTGTTTTTTGCCTTTTGATTTTGAAGCCACTTTTTAATGGGTTTTGAGTCAATAGTATAATAATTTGAGTACAGATATGCTTACTTCTTAACAGTTGTCTGGGGCGCCAAAGGTACCTTTTACAGAAATTTTACTCAACCTTCATGATTCTAGGGATAATATATTCTCTTCCACATAATCCTAGGATAGAGAGAGA